AACTAAAAAATAAATATTAAAAATTCTCTCTCTCTATCTCTTTCTCTCCTCTCTCACTCTCTCTTTAAAAAAAAAAAAATAAAAAAAAAAATAAAGATGTTGTGTCCACTGAAACTAAAAAATAAATATTAAAATTTAAAAAAAAAAAAGAGTGGCAGCACACTGGCAAGCAGTGTGACTCCTCAAAGGGTTAGATGCAGAGGTACCATAGGACCAGTGATCTCACCAAAAATGCATCCACACAGAAACTTGTAGCAATCCTGGAGAATCATAGCAGAACCATCCATAAGAGCCAAAGATAGAGACAGCCTCAATTGTCATCAAAAGACAAATGGATAGACAAAACGTGGTCTATCCATACAATGGAATATTATTCAATCATAACATAGAATAAATAAATGAAGCATTGATTTATGAAATAATGTGAATGAAGCCAGATACAAGGCAGGGGCTGTAACTCAGTAGTAGGGCACTTGCCTTAGTATGCTGGAGGCCAGGGTTCCATTCTCAACAACAGGCAGGAAGAAAAAACATGAAGTGAGATCTAAAACACCACACACTTTATGATCCCATTACTGTGAAATTTCCAGAAAAAGGAAAATCTACAAGGACGGAAAGTTAAAGATAAATGGTTGCCTGGAATTAGGGGAGGAAAGATTGTGCGACTAAGGGATGAGAAACAAATTTCTTTCTGGGGTGATAAAACGTTCTAAAATTGATTTGGGTGATGGATGCCCAACTCTGAACATGCTAAAATTCACTGAAATGTTAATGTACAACAGGTGAATTGTACGGTATGTGAATTCTATTTCAATATAGCTATGCCACAAAAATGTCTGCCCTTGACAGTTGACAGCCACTCATCCAGTAGGAAAAAAATCAAAAGGCAGAATAGAAGCTCAAGTCTTCCTGGTGGCCCCTGGTGAATGGCTGGTTACACAGTCACTTCATGAGGACAAATAAGAAAATCTTCCCAAATGTTTTAAGCAGCTGATGCCACCAAGCTGGCACAGGGGACAGTCAACTTTCTCTTACTTTCCAATTATATTCAGACTTTCCTGCCCCAAAATTCGGGTCCTCTAGTGATACAAACAGATTTCAAGTATTCCCCTTCATCAAATATGAATCCAAAGTTAGGCTACAGGTGGGTGGGTCATCAAGTTTAATTAAAAGTAAGGAAAGACACACCCTTTGATGTCTTCAGAACTCCAATGAGCTCAACAGCAATGTTTACCTCTGATGATGCATTTTAATGGTCTGATTTTATATAATTCAGTGTTCGGCTGCAGGAAAGTGAATCGATCATTTCAAATCAAAGAGGACACATCCCATGACTGACTGCCAACAGACAGCAGCAGAACTCAAAGCTGTTGCAGGTTTGTTGTCTTATACTAGCTACAGTTATTATCTTTCACCCCTTTCTGCACTCCTCAGCTGCCCCACCACTGTTTGCTGCCAGACCAAAAGATCTTTACCCCAAGCCTTCTTGACACATGGACTCAATTTACAGACACAACTGTCTGGACAATTTACACATGGATCCAGATTGCCCTTATAAGTAAAAGGAATAAAAATATAACTGTCACCTCCAGTTTTTATAGCTGGAGAAGCAGAGATCCACAAAGCAGGGAAACTAAAAGGAGGTGAGGCTTTACCCAGCTCAGCTCACTTCTCCATGCAAACTCTCCCCTCTCCCAACCTCCCTTCACCAAATGTAAACAAAACTGAAGAAAAAAAAAAAAAAAACCTATACATTCACACCTGTTCTTCTGATGCCCCAAGCCAGCAGGCTTTCTATTTTAAGGAATCTGGGGTTAAAATGAGTCAAATGTTTTTGCCTCCTATCAGAGGACTAAAAGAACGCCCAAGTGGGTGGTCTACCCACAGGGGTGACTCAGTCATTAGCACAGATTCCCCCCACCCCCAATAACAGTGTCTGAGCTTATTCTGGCTGAGGATGGGGTGGTTCCCCCAGCCCTGGAGCACAAGGATGTGCCCAGGGACACCTGTGAAAAGCTGAGCCCTGTAGCTCCTCCCTAGTGGAGGACTCAGGAAAATAAACCTGAGGGAGGTGCCAGGCACAAAAACAAGCAGTGGGTGAAGGCAATCTGAGATCCAGAAGGTGGTAACCATATTCTCCAGGACCCCAGCCCAACACACCAACTACCCCACCCTACCCACCCTCACCCCGCATTCCAAGCAGGTACTAAGACCCAGGAAGGGCACACTTGATATTCTCACAATCTCAACCCCAATTTAAAACACCTAAGCAGTCTTCGCTAAACATTCACATCATTAAAAATTAGTTTCCGACGTGGCACACTCCTTTATATAAAACCCACTATCACTGCTATTGGAGAAACAAAACTCAAACACAACTTTTCCAAGGCAGGGCTGTGGAGTTATGTAACAGGTCAGTTTCAGCAACAAGCAGTGCAAGGAGGAAAAACAAAACGTAACCGACCTCTTGAATAATCTCAAGAGTCAGCGAGTATGTGGTTCTTGCACGCGAGTCACACATTCTGTCTCTGCTCGGGGAGCCTAGACCCTCCGCTTCCAGGGTCCCTGAACCCCGGGAAATTTAAACTCGCGCAACTTAGCGCGCCTGAATGGCGGAGCGGGGAATGTGGTGGGGGCCAGGGGACGGTCTAGCCAGATCACTGCGACCACAGACACTGGGACAGGACGGCTGGGCCTACCAGAAGGAGACCCGCGCAGAATCCCCGGACCTGGCTCGAGCAGGCCACGGTCCCAGCGTGAGGAACTTGGGTTATGCCAGGGGCCGACCTAGGGACAGGTCATCCTAGACACACCCGGAAGGGGACTAAGGGCAGGTCACCTAAGATCTGGCCCGAGCAAGAACCAGACTTAGCCGTATCGGGGGACTGAGGCAGATCGCGGAAGAGGCGGGTGAGGGACCACGGCAGGTCAGCCCTGGTCTGGCTGCAGTGGAGAAACGGGGCAAGTCAGCTGGGGATACAGCCGAAGTGGGGAACCGGAACAGGTTACTCCAGGCTTGGCAGGTATGAGGGACACCAGGCAGATCAGGCCGGGCCCGGCCAGAGTTGGGGACCTGGGACCGGTCAGGTCAGCCCGGCCGGAGTGGGGGAGCTGAGGCAGGTCCGGGACGCCGACGCCCGACCCGGGCTTCCGGCGCCGCCATGTGCCGCTCACCTGCGCGTCGAGCTGTCCGGCCGCAGCGCCCGCGCCCGCGCCCCCCGGGCCTCCCGCGCCGCCTCCTCCGGGGCCGCCAGGGCCACCGGGGGGCGTCTGGGTCTGGCTAGGGAGGGTGAAGTCGGTGAACTCGAACTCGGAGCCCTGTGTGTCAGCGCCGAGCAGCTCAGCCTCCTCGGTGTCCAGGAAGGTGAGCGTCTGCGAGCTGGGCCCGTACGCCTCCACGCTCATGGTGCCGCCGGGTAAGGCCCTCAGGCCGGCTACGCGGAGTACTTGAGCCCGCAGCCGCGCTGAGGCCTAGGCCGCAGGCTTCGGGTTGCCGCCGCCCCCGCGCGCCCGGTTCGGACCGAATCGTCTGCCTTGAAGCAAGCTGGGCAGAGAGCCACGAGCGCCAAGCCGCTGCCGCCGCCGACTCCCTCAGAGCCGCCGCTCCCCTCAAAGCTGCCCGCCGCTCTGAGCCCCCGGCAGGAACCGCCGCCGCCGCCGCCAATGCCGTGCGCGTGCGCGAGCCCGACGCCGGCGCAGGTGCGCGTGCGCGTGCGCGAGCCCGACGCCAGCGCAAGCGCGCGCGCGCTCCTCTCGGACGCCGCCAACCGCGCCCCGACGCGGGAGCCCAGCGGGACGACGGGACGCGCAACGCGCACGCGCAAAAGGGAGGAGCTCCCAACCGCCGCGGCCGGACTGCTCGAGGACATGGCCCCGCCCCAACCGGTGCTTAGTGACGCTCTGGCGGCGGGCGGTGCGGATGTGGTGGTGTTCGGAGCAAGCACAAGATCGGGTTAGTTGAGCGCTGAGGGCCCTTCTCCATAGGTGGCCTTGGAACACCCAGCTGGGGAGGTTGGGGGAGGCAGTGCGCCCCATCCCTCGAAGAAGCTTCTCTTTAAATTTTTAAAAATTTGTTCTTTAACATATACATGACAGTAGAGTATGTTGACATATCATCGTACAGGGGTGTGACTTCCCCTGCTCCTCGTGGTTGTACACCATGTGGAGGGACACTGGTCGTGTGTTCACATAGGAGCACAGGACAGTTACCTCCCTTCCTTCTGCTGTCTTTCCCGCTCCTGTCCCCACTTTCCCCTCGCCCCGCTTCGTCGGATCCAGTGAACTTCTACTCTCCGCTCCCCCCTGTGGGTCGGCGTCTGCAGATCAGAGAGAAGATTCATTCGGCCTTTGGTTTTTTGGGGGATTGGCTTAGCATGATAGTCTGGAGGAAGCTTCTTTTTTAAAATGTGTACATATAATATATATATTTTAAAGTTGTTGATGGACCTTTATTTTATTTATTTATATGCAGTGCTGAGAATCCAATCCAGTGCCTCACACATGCTAGGCAAGTGTGCTACCACTGAGCCACAACTGCAGCCTCAGTTTCTGCACCTGAAAAAGAGGTTATGTGGCACATAGTAGATGCTCAGTGTGCATTTGTTGAATAGATGAGGGACAGTCTTAGTACTGAACCTGGAACGCCAAGATGGTGGTTGGCCCTATGCCTGATGACCCTGAGACTTATTACTCTTTTTTATTATTGTTGCTCTAATGATTGTTCAGAAGCAATATATAGTAAAGTGATTGGGCACATATGCCTGGGATGAAATCCCGGTACACAAGACTTCACCTCTTTGAACCTAGAGTTTGCTTGGTTGAGATTGGGAAATAATGACCATATGGTGGATAAGGAACAAATGAGCCAGTATTCACTCCTTAATTGTTACTTATTTTATTATTTATTTTAAAAGATTCTTTAAGGCCAGGGTTTTACCTTCTTCATACAGGTCTTTCCAATAGGGAGAATAATGCTACACAAAATAGGCACTTGGGCTGAGGTTGTGGCTCAGTGGTAGAGCACTTGCCTGGCATGTGTGAGGCACTGAATTAATTTAATTCAATCTTCAGCACCACATAAAAAATAAATTAATTAATACAATGAAGGTATTGTGTCCATCTACAACAACAAATAAATAAATAAAAATAAATAGGTGCTCAGTTAAAGGTTCAGAGATAATTTAAATCCAGGTTCAGCTACTGGTTTATGGGTCTTTATCTTGCAACTCCAGAATTCAGATTCCTCTTTGGTAAACTGACTTTGGAGAACATACGTACTTCCCTTTCTTTCCCAAGATTCTGGAACTCTCTGAATACTTGGAGCCAGCCCACGGGACTCCTGGCATACACAACTGAGTTAAAAGTTCCCAATCTTACCACAGTTCCTCATTTTTCAAGTTTTCCTATTTATCATGACAAGAAAAGAGGCTTCATTTTCCTTCACATTAAAAAAAAACATTTTATTGGTTGTAAATGGACACAATACCTTTATTTATTTATTTTTATGTGGTGATAAGGATTGAACCCAGTGCCTCATATGTGCTAGGAAAGTCCTCTACCAATGAGTTCCAAACCCAGCCCTTCCTTCACATTTTGAGGGGTTTCAACTGTGCCCTACCTAAACTGTGGAATATGGAATATGAACTTAGATCCCCTTCCTGGGAAAAACACAGTTTAAGCAGAACTCCTGACAAACCAGCAGATGGTATCAATGAAATGCAAAGCCCTCTTAGGAAAAAAAGTAGTAGGAGAATTAAAGATCATTCTGGTGTTAGCTTTTAGGGTTCTAATTGCACACACTTCTCCCATGTTGACCCAGCAACTACACTTCTAAGGATATCCATTTTTTTCCTATGTATATTCTCATTTAAAAAATGATATTATGAAGGCACACTAGAATATATATATGTACACATATTTAAAACAAAAGAAGGAAGTAATGGAAGAATTGAACAAAAAAGACTAGATGCCTAGAAAAATAAGAACAACATAAATAAATCCTCATCACTAATTATATTAAATGAAAATGTATTAAACTCGCCACTTAATATGCAGAGATCATTATAATGAGTTTTAAAACAATAATCCACCTGTATGCTATCAAAAAGAGTCTACATTAAAACAGAAAAGCTGAATTCATTGGCGCATGCCTGTAATCCTAGAACCACAAGTTTGAGGCCAGCACGGTCAACTCAGCAAGACCTTGTCTCAGAATAAAAAAATAAATAAAAAGGGCTGGGGATGTAGCTCAGGGGGGAAGCACCTCCGAGTTTAATTCCAAGTATTAAAAAACAATGGGCTGGGGATGTGGCTCAGCGGTAGCGCGCTCGCCTGGCATGCGTGCGACCCGGGTTCGATCCTCAGCACCACATACCAACGAAGATGTTGTGTCCGCCGAGAACTAAAAAA